TGGGTCCAGCTTGTATGTCTCTTAATATTATGATGTTGACCATGTTTCTTGTTCTTACTACCATTTATATATATTGGGTAAACTGCCTATTCAAGTTTAAAAGAGAGAGAGAGAGACAGAGAGAGAGAGAGAATTTTTTAATATTTATTTTTTAGTTTTCGGCAGACACAACTTCTTTGTTTGTATGTGGTGCTGAGGATCAAACCTGGGCCGCACGCATGCCAGGCGAGCACGCTACCACTTGAGCCACAACCCCAGCCCAAGTTTTTTGCTGATTTTTAAAAATCATGTTGTCTTGCTGGATTATGAGAGTTTTCCATATATTTTGGATACAAGTCTCTTCACAGAAGTACATATTGTAAACATTTTGTCCCAGGATGTGATGACTTTTAAAAAAAATTTTTTTTCAGTCCCAGGGTTCTAGGGATGAATCTGGGGCACTTTATGATTGAGGTGCATCCCCAACCTTTCTAATTTTTTTTTTTTTGAGACAAGGTCTCACAAATTGCCCAGATTGACCCCGAATTTGCCATCTTCCTGCCTTAGTCTCCCCTGTTACTAGGAGTACAGACATGCTCCACAGTGCTCTGCTCATTTTCTTAACAATTGTACCTTTTGAAGAGCTTAAGTTTTTTTTTTTTGTTTTTTTTTTTTTTGTTGTTGTTTTGTTTGTTTGTTTTTAAATGGTTTATTCTTTCTCTTTCTCTATCTCAGTGCTTGGGGTTGAGCCCACACATGCTAAGCAAACACTACTTCTGAGCTACACCCCTAGCCCTGTGGTCTATTTAAACAAACAAACAAACAAAAATAGACCAAAGGTCAGTAACAATTCCTCTTTTTTTTTTTTTTTTTTAAGGTTCTGGGATTGAATTCAGATGTACTCAGCCATTGAGCCATTGAGCCACTGAGCCACATCTCCAGCCCTATTTTGTATTTTATTTAGAGACAAGGTCTCACTGAGTTGCTTAGTACCTCGCTTTTGCTAAGGCTGCCTTTGAACTCGTGATCCTCCTACCTCAGTCTCCTAAACCACTGGGATTACAGGTGTTCGCCACTCTGCCTGGCTCCCTATGGTCTATTTTAATAATAGAATATTACTTAGCAATAAAATGAATAAAGTGTAAATGGTGTAGCCCACTTTAGAAAATAGTTCAAGCGAGGCATTCCCAGTACTGGGTATAGGGGAAGAAAATAGTTTAAATTGTTAAATGTAGAGTTACCATATGACCAATAATTAGACTCCTAGGTAGATAACCAAAGAGAAATGAAAATAATCCCTCAGAAAAATTCGTGCACACATATTCACAACAGCATTACTCATAATAACCAAAAAGTGGAAACAAGCCAAATGTCCATCATTTGGATACAAGTCTCTTCTTAGAAGTACATATTGTAAACATTCATGAATTAATCTCTGTACAATGTAATGTTATCTCACCATGAAAAGAAAATAAGTACTGATACATACTATTAGTAACATGGATGAACCTTGGAAACATTAGGCTAAGTGAAAGGAACCAGACACAAAAAGCCACGTGTAAGATTCCATTAATTTGAAATGTTCAGATTAAGCAAATCCATATAAACAGGAATGACAAGAATGGTTGACAGGGCTGGGGAGAAGGACAAATGGGGAGTAAACTCTAAAGAGGACAAAGGTGCTGGGGATCAAACTCAGAGACTTGCACACTCTAGGCAAGTTCCCTATCACTGAACTACATTCCCAGCCCTGAATTGTGTATGTTAAAATTGTGCATGTCAATTTTATGGTATGTGTGTTATATTTCAATGAAGCTATAAACCATATAAACTGTTAATTCATACCACAGGGATGAATTTCAAAATCATTATACTGAAGTAAGCAAGACACAAAAGAGTAATACCAGATAATTTCCTTTATACCAAGTCTTAAAACAGGCAGAACCAGCCAGGTATGATGGTGCAACATTGTAATCACAGGGACTCTGTGGCTGAGGCAAGAGTATTGCAAGTTTGAGGACAGCCTGGGCAATTTTAAAATTTTTAAATTTAAATTTAATTTTTTTTTTTTTGGTACCAGGTATTTAATCCAGGGGTGCTTGACCACTAAGCCACATCTCCAGCCCATTTTTTTTTTTTTTAAATTGTGAGACAGTGTCTTGCTAAATTGCTTAGAGCTTCACTAAGTTGTTGAGGCTGGTCCCAAACCTGTGATCCTCCTGCCTTAGCTTCCTAAGCCACTAGGATTACCAGTGTGTGCCACTACATCCAACCAGCCTGGGCAATTTAGCAACACCCTGTCTCAACATAAAAATTAAAAAGAACTAGGGATGTAGTTCTAAATAAAAAGGGCTGGAAGCCAGGTGTGGTGGCACTGTCTGTTACCCCAGTGACTAAGAAGACTGAGGCAGGAGGATTACAAGTTTGAGGTCAGCCTCAGAAATTAAGCCAGGCCCTAAGCAACTTAATGGGACTCTGTCTCAAACTAAAACATTAAAAGGGCTGGGGATATATCTCAGTGTTAAAGTACCCCTAGATTCAATTCCCAGTACTAAAATAAATAAATAAATAGATAGATAGATAGGCTGGGAGATGTAGAAAAAAGTAAAAAATAGAGAAGGCTGGGGATATAGCTCCGTGGTAGAGTGTCTCTAGGTTCAATCCTGATTACTGGAGTGGGGTGGGGTGGGAACAGACAAAACCAATCAATAGAAATCCAGTTACTGGCTGCCTGTGTCAGGGTATGGGGAAAGACTGACATATAATGGGAATTTTCTTTTATTTTTTTGCAGTGGTAGGGATTGAACTCAGTACAGCTAGGCAAGATCCTTCCCTCTGAACTACATCCTATGCTCCCAAAGGAATTCTTTAGAATTTTTTTTTTTTTTTTTGTAGTTGGGTTTGAATCCAGAGGTGATTTATCACTGAGCCACATCCCCAGTCCTTTTTATTTTTTGAGACAGAGTCTCACTAACTTGCTTAGGGCCTAGATAAGTTGCTGAGGCTGGCCTTGAACTTGCAATCCTCCTGCCTCAAGACTTCTGCGTCGCTGGAATTACAGGTGTGTCCCACCATGTCTGGTTATAAGGGAATTGTTTAGGGTGATAGAAATCACTCATATTTTGATTGGAGTTGATGATTATATGAGTGTATATACTGGACAGAACTCACGGAACTGTACATTATGTGTATTGAATTGTACATACATTTTTACTTCAATGGTTGTAAAAAACAAAACAAAACAGATTTCTAAGTCAGGCCATATAGTATAATAGTGCTTCCTAAAATTTCCCACGGAATGGTACCCTTAGGCAACAATGATGCACTATTTGCTGAGTTTTACTCCAAGGCACTTGGAATTCTTGGCTAGACTGCTCTCAACTCAAAAGCTCCCAGACTAGGCTCTGGCCAAGCTACACAGGCTGAGGACATCAATGCCTGGGAATATGGTTGGAAAGCTCAGTGTAGTGGTTAATGGAGTCTTCTCTGTAGTCAGACAGACTTCGAGTAGGGTTGGGGAGGCATGATTCCATTCCTGCTCTGCAATAACTACCTCTGTGACCTAGGGCAAATTATCTTATCTCTTAGTGCCTCTTTCCTCATCTGTAAAATCAGGACAGTAATAATAATAATCTTAAAAGATCATTGAGTTCTAGGGGTGTGGTTCAGTAGCAGAGTATAGGCTTAAGGGCCTGGGTTTGTTTCCACCCCCCCCCCATCATTAACATGATTAAATGAGATAAAAATGTAAGTCTCTAGCATCTACTGGGCACTGCATAATTAATCAATTACAACTATCCCCATAAAAAATGGTCAAGAGTGCTGGGCACATGACACTGTACCTGTTGTCCCAAGGAGTCCAAGACCAGCTTGGGCAACATAGTGAGACCCCCGTTTCAAAACAAAGAAATAAACATAAAAGGGACAAAAGCTGCCAGACCATTTAATGAGAACATAACATTTCCCTGTCTAGTAAAGTTTCTCATTCACCTTCGGTACTCCCTTTTTTTTTTTTTTTGTATCAGGGATTGAACCCAGGAGTGTATAACCACTAAGCTGTATCCCCAGCCCTTCTTATTTTTTATTCCAAGATAGGGTCTCACTGAGTTGCTAAGGGTCTTGCTAAGTTGCAGAGACTGGCTTTGTACTTGTGATCCTCCTGCCTCAGCCTCCTGAGCCACTGGAATTACAGGTGTGTGCCACCATGCCTGGCTCAACTCCAAATCTTATTCTAAACTTAAAAAAAAAAAAAGTGTTGGCTAGGTAGCTCAGTGTAGAGTGCTGGTGGCAGGACAAGCTAGCATGCGCAAAGTCCTAGGTTCAATCCCCGGTACAGAAAGACAGGAAGGAAGGAGGGAAGGAAGGGAGGGGGGGGGGGAGGGAGGGAAGGAAGGAAGGAAGGAAGGAAGGAAGGAAGGAGTGAGTGTGGGCAGGCTGGCTAGCCATATAACTTAGTGACAGAGCACATGCTTATTAGCATGCACAAGGCCCTGAGTTCAACACCTAGAAGAAGAAAAGAAAGAAAATACAGATTCTCAACCCTGGCAGTGTCTAGCCTCTGGCACCAAGTTCTCAGGCATTGTTCTACTGAATTTTCACCAAGTCATAGCAACTCTGTGTTTATCTCTGCCATTCCATGCTACAGCCACCCCCCCACCCCATTCTGCTGCTTTTACATGAGTATCAGAGAGAAACTCAAAATTAAAGGGGCACAAGAAATAAATGTCTGAGGATGTAGCTCAATGGTAGAGAACTTTCCTTGCATGCTTAAGGCCCTGGGTTCAATCCCAAGTAACACACACACACACACACACACACACACAGGTGTCTCAATGGGGGGTATTCTCTCCCATTCCCTCCTCCTCCCTGCTCTTCCCCTTCTATCCCCTGGCGCCTATAATCACCAGGCAGTCTGAGGCTAAGTGGTAGTTTTGCCCTTGGTGGGGGGGCTTAGAAACCACACTCCTCCCCTTGGGGCCCTCCTGGCCATTCCCAGCATCCTGGTCTTCTCCATTGTTGAGATGGGTCTGAAGGGTGTATGGTGTTTCCCATGGTGTGGGTGCCGGAGACAACGGGGGACTGAAAGAGGAGCAGGTATGAGGGTTAACTGAGGGAACAGGGGGATTGTTAGGCATACAGATAGACAAGTGTACGGGGAGAAAGATAAACCCTCAAACCAGCAAAGGAAAAAGGATCCTGTATCTCCCTGGTTTGGAGGTGGATTCCTCACTTTCTCACAAGACTGGTTAAAGACTTTGCAGAGTCCAATACAAAATGGAACAGTGGTGCCCTGTGGCAAAATTTAAAAACTTCAAGATGGTGACAGTAGACCACTATTCCAAGCGTGGGAGACTTTCTGAGCAGGAGAGGGACTTAGGGGGATTTTGCAATTGCTTAGACTGCATGCCTGTGAAGCCAGCCTTGCTTTTAAACATCCCTGCTGCTGCCACCAACTTCCCTCATCCCTCAGACTCCCAGGACAATTTCTTTCCTCTTCAGCTACTGATGGGAGGTGGTGTGGGGGGGGAGTTGAACCCTAACCACAATCCCTTTCTTCCTCCTCCAATCTCCCTTATAGGCCTGGGTTCTGCTGCCCCTCCAGATTCCAGCCCAGCTATCACCCCCATGGTGACTGAGGGAGGGCCACCCTCCCCAGGGGCTGGTGCCTACTTCAGCAGAAAAGCCCGACTCTCCTTCCGCCACCAGCTGCATGACGTAGCATCAGCCAATGACTCCACCATTTGAAGGGAGGCAATCAGGGGCTGAACCTCCAGGAAGACTTGGAAACCTCCCTTCACCCCATTTCTCAATGGTCCCAGTGTCTGGCTCCCCCAAATCTATCATGATCTTCTCATTAAATTCTTTCAGACTTTCCAAGTGTTCTGTGTATGACTGGAAGGTTGGCAGGGTCAAGGCACTAAGGCTGAGTATAAGGCTGAGGTGGGAAGTGTAGCATCAGGTGGGAGTGGGTCACAGGAATGGTGACTATGAGGCAGACCCCAGGTGTGCTAACAGGAAAGTAAATTTGCTGAAACCCAGCTTCAGAGATGAGTGTGGTGAGAACAAGTTTGGGGAGGTTGGTTTGCAGGGTATGGTGGCGCTTGCCTGTAATCCCAGAGACTCAGGAGGCTGAGGCAGGAGAATTGCAAGTTCGAGGACAGCTTCAGCAATTTAGCGAGGCACTAAGCACTGGTTCAAAATTAAAATAAAATAAAAATAAAAGGCTGGAGATGTGGCTCAGTGGTTAAGCATCCCTAGGTTCAATCCCCAGTTTGGGGGGGCAGATTGTGGGAGATTGGGCAGGACAGATGGGATTAGGGAGCATATCATTCAATAAATATTTGGTATTAACTGCCTGCCAGATATAGAGAATGTATCATTGAATCAAGAAGAAAAAACTCTATTTCTATTTCTTTCTTTCTTTCTTTTTTTTATCTGACTTTCTAGTTCAGGGAGAAGACAAGTAAACAAATAAGCATGACAATATGAGATACTAACAAGAAAATAAAACAGGGTAATGTGAAAATGAGATGGCAGAGGATGGTGTTTCTTTAATTTCAGATGGATAGGAAAGGCTTTTCTGAGTTGAGACCTGAACGACAAGCAGCCAAGTGAAAGCTGGGAAATGAGGTATCAGTGTAGGCCACTGACTCTAGCATACCACTCTGATGCAGGATAGGAGTGAGGCTGTATATATGTGGGGGAAGGGATATATGGTAAATTTCTACCTTCCACTCCATTTTGCTATAAACCTAATACTGCTGTAAGAAACAGTTTCAAAAAAAAAAAAAAAAAATCAGGCTGGTGTAGGGCTGCACACCTATAATCCCAGTGACTGGGGAGGCTTGAGTCAGGAGAATCACAAGTTGGAGGTCAGCCTTAGCGACTCTGCTGGACCCTTAACAACTTAATGAGAACCTGTCTCAAAAAAATAAAAAGGACTGGGGATGTAGTTCAGTGGCAAAGCGCCCTGGGTTCAATCCCCAGTAACAAAGAATAAATTAAAATTTTCACAGGACTGGGGGTATAATTCAGTGGTAAAGCTGTTACTTAGCATGGATGAGGCCCCCCAGGCAGAAAAAACAGTAAATGGTAAGGTTGTAGGAAACTAAAAATAAGGAATGACTGGAGTGTCAAGGTTAAGAAATTTTTGATCTTCAAAGTCTTGGTAAGGAGCCAAAATATTAGTCCAGGTGGTACGGTAAGACATTGAAGAATGTTAAAGCAGGGAAGCAACATGGTCTCATGTTTACAAAAGTTACTTCCCTTGCTGTATGGGAAAAGGACTGTCCTAAGGGCAAGTAGGAAGCAGAAAGGCCATTTAGGAGGTTGTTGTCATTCAGAGATCATGGTGGTTTGGATCAGGATAGTGATATGGAGATGGTAAGTAGATGAATTCTATGGATACTCATCTCTACTGCCCTCTAAACCCCTCCAGGGCAGGATATTATGCATACTAGAACAAGGTTTCCAAATGTATCTTTTATCCCCTACACTGGAGAAAAGAAGACTAAACATTTGTCACTGTCAAAAAGCATCACTGAATTCCTTTAGGTCCTTGAGTTGGAAGGAACAGAATCCATTCTTAGCCTTCTGTGAGAATGGTGACTTTCAGAGCCAGTCTAAAGCATTTAAATTCCACTTGCAGACAAGACCAACTTCTTTCCCCTGAAGCCAAGGAAGTACATTGCTATGTCCTGACCACAAGATGAGGTAACAGAGGTATGAAGAAAGAGAACCATGAGGTGAGGCTAAAGGAGAGTTCTTCTGGTCTTGGGCCAGTAATCACTGATGATGACTGGTATGCCAGGAGAGATGACCTCAATCTCAGAATTCTAAATTCTACCTTGGACTTAAACATAGAGGGGTAGGTATTGTTGATAGCCCTCACATTAACCATATTCTAATAGTTTAAGTAGCTAGAAATGATAGAGAAAAGGAAATACGGGGATAGTTTGGAGAAAGAGGTTTGAAAACCAACCATGTAGCTGGGGGCAACCATATAGCATGTGTCACTGTTGGTCATCAATTCTAACAAACACACCACCTGGTGTAGAATGTTGAAAGCAGGGGAGGCAGTTGTATGTGGGGACAGGCATATATATGGAAAAATCTCTAACTTCCACTCTATTTTAATGTAAACCAATACTTCTCTAAAAAAGTTCACCAAAAAAAAAAAAGCAAAAACAAATCCTTAAAAAAAATCAGGTTGGGTGCAGTGCATACTTCTACATGCTTGTAATCCTGACTATGTGAGGTTTGAGATAGGCTGGCAGTGAGGTAGGAGGACGGCAAGCATGAGGCCAGCCTGGACCCTGCTGGAATTACAGCTCAGTGGTAAAGCACTTGCTTAGCATGTAGGAGGTTCTGTTATGATTAATCCATAACACCACAAAAAGACAGAGCAAAGAAAAGAAGGGGGAAGGGGTGGAGAAGGGAAAGAGGAGAAGAGAGGAAGAAAGAAAATCACACATGCAAAAGCTTAGTGAAGAGTGGTGGAACATTCATAAACTCCCTCAATCTCCAGTGTAACTCCTCTTGAGTTTGGTGCAGTGGTTTGTACAAACTACTAGTGGGCCAGACAAGTTCAGGCTTGAGGTTAAGAAAGGAACCTCAAATTACAAAGACTCTCTTTGACAAACTGTTTATTAAATTCTTATCGGTACGGGGTGAATATTATTACATCCTAGAATCGCAGACTTAGGGAGGTGGTAAAGTAGCAATGGTGAATTTGGGTATCTGGTCTCCCAAAAGTACCTGCCGCTCTACCCCCGATTCTTCAATGGCTGCCAGGCGGATCACCCCTCCACTGGAGCCATCCCGTTCCATAGCCAAAGCAAGAGCTGTGGATAAAAGGAGGAAGTTGGATTTGGAGTTAGTTGCTGGGAGTACTGTAATAAATGAGAAATGTTGGCCTGGCTTGGGTAGGGAGGGTTGACGACCACAGGCCCAGAAACCCAAGTTCTCACCATTGGCAGTGAACTGCAGACACTCTTCCTTAGTCATGCCTTCACGGTAGGTAGCATCAACATAGCCATAGATATATGAACTCCCAGAGCCTCCAATGGCAAAGGACTGCCTTACCATCATACCTCCCATGGGAACTGAGTATACCTGCCAGACGAAGGAGAACAGTCACAGTGTATACCCTTCTCCCAGCACATGTACATCCACCTTCCCATTGTGGGATCAGTCTGGAGAGAGTTAATGGTAACTGAGGTAGAAACTGAAATGAGAAACAGAAAATGGTCAGAGTAGAGAAAGGATCTAAGGCAAGGCTTCAGTGCTGGAGTAGATTATCTCACCTGTCCTCCTTCTTGAGGATCCCAGCCAGCAATGATAATTCCCGCCATCAGATCTTCCCGGTATCGGTAACACATCTCCTTAAAGAGGCTGGCTGCTGTGTGCACCAATGGAGGCTCATTCAGTTCAATGCTGGAGGGTTAGGTGGGGGTTACAAAGAAAGCAGTCTTAGGTCCTGACAGTGAGCCCACTTAGTGCCTCAGGTCCCAGTTCCCTTCCCATACTTGCTCCTTCCCTGCCCACAAGCACCTGTGGAATCCAAGCTGATAAGTGACAGCATCTGCTACAGCCTGGGTGTCAGCTGCAGAGCCTGAACGGCAGCAGAAAATATGGTCATGAATAGGAGTCAGCTTGTCAGTCACTCGATTGGCGATATAGGACCTGCAGGATGGCAGAATAGTGAGGGAAAGATCCCACCTGCCTCCCACCTCCATCCCATCACTATCCACAGGGGAATGGGGGGTACCTGGGGTGTGTGTGTTTTCAGGGATAGGAAACCAGTATTGCTTATTGGTTCTCATACAAATGGAAGTAGGCTAGATGGAAAACAGACTTTTATAAGGATGAATGAAACTATAGAAATACAAGCTGGGATAAATCTTTCTCTCCAGGTAGACGAGAAATTTCCCTGCCCACATTAGTCTGGAGGATTAAGGATGGGCTGGCAGGGCTAGGGATGCGTGGCTCAGTGATAAAGCACTTGCTTGGCTGGCCACAGGTTCAATTCCCCAGCACCGAAAGGAGGGAAAACAGGATGGTCCGGCAGGCAAGAAAGGGAAAGATGGGAAAATCTTTCATAAATCTGTCCTGAGCTCACCCAGTGGTTGTTCTGGAGTCTGCTCCCAGAACCACACCCCCGTCAAATTGCACAGCCATGATAGTGGTCTGAGAAAAGGGAGAGAAGGGTGAGTCTAAACTTTTCCACATTCCCCAACATACATAAACCTCAACAATTCCCTCCCCAGATCCCATAATACAAAACTCGTGCGCCGCGGACCCATTTTCCAATCCTGTCGGGGCCTCTACATTCCTCAAAATACCAGAATTCCAACCCTCAAGCTCAGAGGTTTCATTTGCCCTGAAAGATAGAATTTCACGCTTCAACCCACCCTTTACTCCCCATCACCAACGTACCACACCACTCTAGTATCCTCAGAATACCTCTCCCTCCGCCGTGAGCATAACACAGTCCACCTCCCTTCTCAACCCCACTTGGGCTTTATCCTCCCCAGTTGTGCACATTTTCTGAATCCTGACTCCTTCCTCACCCCTGTGGAGACTTCCCGGTTTTCCCAGTCTGGGGCGACAGCCTCCCGCCCCCAGGCGGGTGCGGGACCCTCTCCTCGAGCAGCAACTAAGGTGGCCGCCATCTTCCTCCTCCTGTGCTGCCACAAAGCAACTGTCGTAAAGCGCTCTGTCACTCTCTTTGAGGCCTTCTGGGAGAGAAATCATGCCGCGGTTGACGGCAGAAGGGAAATGAAAGTAGAGGGTAGGTTATTTTGCGACAGTGAGCACTTGATGGCAGTGTGTCAGGCAACAAACTAAAGAGAGCGGGGCAGAGACACAGCGAAAAGAGAAAGTCCTGCCTTGCTGTGGTGGCGCACGCCTATTACCCCAACGACGGAGGATCGCAAGTTTGAAACCAGCCTTGGCAATTTAGTGAGATCCTGTTTCAACATAAAATAAAAAAGTTTTGGTGGATGTAACTCAGTGGTAGATCATTCCTGGGATCAGTGCTTAGTACAGGGGAGTCCGGAAAGCAGGGGATGTTGCTCGGAGGTAGAGTACTTTTGCATATGCAAGGTCCTGCGTTCAGTACTGGCCTGGGCTGTACTGATCTGTCTGATTGGAGCCTGGAGATCTGAGTTGGAATAATCGTGGGGTGTTTTCATTTTTCTTGGCTGTAAACCTAGCAGCGGTTGAATTACTGGGTCTTATGGTAACTCTGTTTAACATTTTGAGGAACTGACCATTGTTTTCCGTAGCGACTGCACCATTTTTTATATTCGGACCAGCCATGTGTGAGGATTCCAATTTTTGTGCATACCGACCAACACTTGGTATTGTGTATCTTTTTTTTTTTGTCGTGGCCATCCCAGTGGATATGAGTGCAAACTTCTGGCTTTTTTTTTTTTGCATTTCTCTAATAATTAGTGATGTTGAGCATATTTCCATGTGCTAATTGGCCATTTGTGTATCTTCTTTGGAGCAATGTTTAGTTAAGTTCTCATTTTTAAATTGGGATTTTTTTTTATTGTTGGGTTATGGGATTAAATATTTATTTATTTACTTTTGAGACAGGGTCCTGTTGTGTTGTTCTGCGCTGACTTTTTTTTTTTTTTTTTGGTACTGGGGATTGAACTCAGGGGTACTCGACCACTGAGCCACATCTCCAGCCCTATTTTGTATTTTATTCGAGGCAGGGTCTCACTGAGTTGCTTAGCTCCTTGGCATTGCTGAGACTGGCTTTGAACTCGGGATTCTGCTGTCTCAGCCTCCCAAGCCGCTGAGCTTTTTATATTATTCTTGATATTAGAAACATCCCGTATATGATTTCCAAATATTTTTCTCCCATTGGCTTGTTTTTTTAAAAAAAAATTATTGGTTGTTGATAGACCTTTATTTATTTATATGTGGTACTGAGGATTGAACCCAGTGCCTCACACATGCTAGGCAAGTGCTCTACCATTGAACCATAGCCCCAGCCTTGGATTGTCTTTATACTTAATTCATTTGTATTCTTTGAAGAAGGAAAGTTTTGATGTGTGTGTGTGTGTGTGTGTGTGTGTGTTACTGTGAATCAAACCCAGGGCTTCATATTTGCTAGGCAAGCTCTGTACCACTGAGTTACATTCCCAACCCTTTAAAAATTTTTACAGATTCTTTCTAAATTGTTCAGGCTAACCTCCAACTTGGGATCCTTCTGCCTCAGTCTCTGGAGTCAGTGGGATTACAGGATGTGCCACTGTGCCTGGCACCTGTGTTTTCTTTGAAGAGTTCTGTAGTGCTTACTCTTACATTCTTAGATCTGTGATCCATTTCAAGTCATTTTTTGTATATGATGTGAAGTCTAAATTCATTTATTCCTCTTCCTCTTCCTCCTCCTTCTTTTTTGGTACTATGGAATGAACCCAGGGGTGCTTAACCACTGAGCCACATTTCTGGCCCTTTTTATTTTTTATTTTGAGAAAGGTTCTAAGTTGCTGAGGGCCTTGCTAAATTGCTGAGGCTGGCAACTTGCAATCCTCCTGCCTCAGCTTCCCAAGCCACTGGGATTACAGGCATGCCCACCACACCGGCTTAAATTCATTCTTTTGCATGTAGTTACCCAGTTGTTCCAGCCCTATTTGTCAAAAAGGTTATTCTTTCCCCCTTGAATGTTTTTGGCATCCTTGTCAAAAATTAATGGACCAGGGAGCTGGGGTTATGGCTCAGTGGTATAGTGCTTGCCTAGCATTTGTGAGGCACTGGGTATGATTCTCAGCACCACACATGAGCAAATAAATAAATAAAGGTGCATCAATAACTAATAAAAATATTTTTAAAAAATCAATGGGTCTGGACTGGGAATATATCTCAGTTTGCAGAGCGCTTGCCTAGCCTGTGCAGGGTCCTGGATTCAATCCTCAGCATCACCTAAAAGAAAAAAAAAAATCAATTGACCAAAAGCTAGAGGTGGTGGCATTTGCCTATAATCCCAGTTACTTGAGAGGTTGAGGCAAGAGGCTTGCCTTGAGTCCACAATTAGAAACTAGCTTAGGCAACACAGACTCCAGCTTAAAAAAAAAAAAAGCAATTTACCAATAATATATGGATTTATTTCTATACTCTTCTCCTGGTTTTATTCCAATGAGCTATTATTTAATCCTCATGCCAGTATCATACTGTCCTGATTACTGTAGCTTTGTAGTACATTTAAAAGAAAATTATCCAGTATATCAGTGCATACCTGTATCCCAGCTACTTGTGAGGCTGAGGAAGGAGGATTGTTTGAGCTCTGGAGTTCTAGATTAGCCTGGGCAACATAGACCACATCTCCCCCCCCCAAAAAAAAAAAACGCATAAAATTTTAAAGCGTGAAGTTCAGTGTCATTTGGTACATTCAAAATGTTGTATAACCATCATCACTATATAGTTTCTGAATGTAGTAATTTCTGAAATTGGAAGTGTGAATCCTTCAACTGTGTTTTCCTTTTCAAGATTGTTTTGGCTATTCTGGATCCCTTGCATTTGCATATGAATTTTAGGAGTAGCTTGTTCATTTCTGGAAAAAAAAAAAACATAGGAATTTTGTTAGGGATTGCATTGCACCTGTTGATCAATTTAGGAAAGTGCTGTCTTTTTCCTGTACTGGAGATCAAACCTAGTGCCTCATACATGGTATTACTACTGAGTTACGCCCTGGCCTTTCTTGTATTTCATTATAATCCCTTTTTGTGTGTGTATGCTGGTCTTATGTATCTATTCACTGTACTACTGAGCAACATTACTAAACTCTTGGCCTCATTTGTGATTTAACTAATTATTTTTTGAGCAGGAAAGTGACAGGAAATAAACTGCATTTTAAAGTGTTACTTTTTTCTGCTTTACTGACAATACATTATTGGGAGGGAAAGGATGGACAGAGGGACAACTAAGAAGCTGTTGCAGCTGTGTTTGATGGCACATGCCTGTAATTCCAGTGACTTGGGCGGGGCTGAGACAGGAGGATTGCAAGTTGGAGATCAGCCTCAGCAATTTAGCCAGGCTCTAAGCAACTTCCCAAGACCCTGTCTCAAAAAATTAAAAGGGCTGGGGGTGTGGTTAAGTGGCCCTAGGTTAAATCCCCAATACCAAAAAAAAAAAAAAAGTATTGCAATAAAATTAGTTATCCATAAAGTTGTCCTGGACAAGGATAGTAGTGTAGTAGTGGTGGAAAAAGTGGGAAATTGTTAGATACTCACATATTGGATGTTGATGTGATGAATGGGAAACAGAAGAGTCATATTACAAGGTTTATGGTCTAAGGTCCTGAAGAATGGAGGTATTTACTGAGCTAGCAATGACTAGTTTGAATATGTCAGGTTTGCTATGCCTAGTTGACATCTAAGCAAAAATGCAGAATTCACAGTTGTAGACATAGGATTCTGGAGTCCAGAAGAAAGTGTATGGGAGGTATAATTTGGGAATTTGCGAACGAAAAGGGCAGGCTTTTTCATGTTCAGTACTGTTTTGGGAGTGGCCAAAGAATCATTTGGTAAACATAGGATAGATTCAAAGTTAGGTCGTGGAAGGGAGAGTGTGCTGTTCATTCAAGGAGACAGAACAATGGACAAGATGCACTTTCAGGGGGAAGGTGATGGGATCCGTTTTGCAGATGTTGTTTGAGCTGACTGTGGATGTCATCAGGAAAGAGTTGCTGTTTGTCAGTAGAACCCAGAAGACAGGTCTGGGCTGGAGACGTGGCATGGAGTTGGCAACTGAAGCCACAGGAGTGGTTGAAATAGGTCAGGAGAAGCTTGATCCTTTCGGCTGCCGGGAACAGGAATGACACATCTTCCCATACTCTGTTTCCCTTAAGTGCCTGCCATCATTACACAAAATGCCCGATGTCGACTGCTGCCAAAGAATACTTCATTCCTCACGGTTCCTCCCATTTTCCTGAGACTACAGAAAGAGCGAGAAGCTCAAAATCATCCCCGCTGGGGGCGGGACTTGGCTCAGACGACGTCACTGTGGGAGTGGGGCAGCCAAGCTGCCAGCTCAGGTGTCTCCCGCCAGTATTGGGGTCGTGATCCTGGGCTGCGCTGATCCCTTCCCAGGGTTCTCCCTTCTGGGCTAGTCTCTCGCCACTGCAGACTTCAAGCCAACGGGAGGAGTCCGACTACCAGTCCCTGGGTGCGGTTGTAGACATTCTCCAGGGTGCCAGCGGCCCGTCAGTTGTATCCCGCGCGTCCGCTCTCTGGTTCCTGGGCACGCCAGCTCCAGCAAGCGGCCGCGAGTTGGGAAGGCGAGGAGAGCGAGGCGGGTGGCGTGACGGATGAGCCAGGGGTGATATGGGGTCAGGAAATGTGCAATAGGCTTCGCTGCATTGCGTGCCGGCGTCCGGGCCTCTCAGCTTCCTTGTCGCCACCCGGTGGAGGCAGATCTGGGACCAGCGCAGCGCGCGGTGCGGCAAGAGCAATAACATTCGTGAGCCCAAAGACCCGGCCAGCCGAGTCCCTGGGGACCCTATCTGGCAGCTCCTGCATTCCTGCCTGCTTCTCCCAGACCGCCATGGTTGTCAGTGATGTGTAATGGGTGGAATCTGGGCCATGCACGCGAATCTCCAGTGCTGTCACCTTGGTGAAGACCTTGCTTGTGGTGAAGGCGAAGGTGGAGCCAAGGGGAGTTAGGAACCTGTGTGCTTGGTGGTGGGATGGGGGAGATGATTTGAGAGGGCGAGGGAAACAAGGAGGTGAGGACTGGCTTGTAGGAGAGAGATCACTCACCTGACTAGTTCCTTCCATCCTGACAATTCCACATCCCCTTTCCAATTTCAGACTGGCAATAAAGGGCCTTATCATGCAGCCCAGCACTCCCTGAGGCCCGGGACAGCAAAGCTCTTCTCTTTGGGTACCATCAGAGAGTCTGGCTCTTGCTGGATCTACTTAACAAGTAGCTGGATTAGGCTCTGAACAGATTGTCCCTAAGGTCTAGCTTTGGTCCTTTTCTGCTATACTCTCAGCTTCATGATGGGAGAGACATGAGGAAGAGGACTCATCCTTCACCAGACCCTTAGCCTAGCTCCCTTTCCCCCTGTTCAGGGTTCTATCTGGGACTCTCAGACTCAGCCCTGGGGTCTTGAGCATACCCTGTCTTGAGCATACTTGAAAGGCAGTGGACCTTCTGGAATGCAGGACTTTGCCAGGGCCTGCAGTCTGACAGGATGCTTGGGAAGAGGGGAAACTAAGCGGTGAGGTCCAGAGAAGGGAGCTTGGGTTCTAAGGGCCTAGACTCCTGACTTTTTCCCTGAACAGGTAAGGAAAGAAGCCATTCACCAAGGATCTGAGCACTGAGATGAAAAAGCACTAACACAAAAATAGAGGAATTGCCTGGTGGAACCAGCAACACAGGGCAGGGTGAGGCAGTGAGACCCGCCATGGCTGCTGCTGAGACCACTGCCCCCTCACTAGCCCCTAGCCAGTGTCCTCATAGGCCTCCAGGAGGGAAAAGATGTGGGCAGTGACCTGAGATGCAAATTAATTTATTATTAAATTAATTATTAACCTTTTAAGACCCCTTCCCCTGTATACTTTGCCCCAAAGGGCAGCTACCCTAGGGTGAGGGACTGAATGAAGATTTGCGGGGAATTGGCAACAATGACACATCTCTACATTTCCTTTTCCTGTAGGGCCAGCTTATAGTAAGAGGCAGCCTAGGTATTACTGGGGAGAGAGGCTAGGGTAAGAACCAGTTCCCCTACTGTGGACTGTAAGTTAACTCTGGACTTGGATTCCCTCCACTATAAATTGAGGATAATAATAGGTACTTGCAAGCCTCATGTGAGGATTAAATGATAATGTTTGTGAAAATGTTGTAAATGGGAAAGCTGACCACAATTGCCCTACAAATCTTCCCAAGTTCAGTGGGGCAGGGGAGGTCTTTGGGATCCAGCGACCACCCACTTCTAAATTTTCCATTCTATTCCCAGAGAACCTTGTCATGATCTAGGTACGTGACCTTTCAATTATGTACTTTAGGTTTTATCCTTTTACATTCTTTTGGTTTAACTTTTTAAACTCCAGATTGATTCCACAGTCATTTATAAAAATTATCTTCATTAACTACTTCCACATGCCAGGCCCTACTAGGCCTCCAGAATATAAAAGTGTTCTCCCAGAGCTAAACATCCATTGAGGGAGAATTTTCTATTTGTTTTCCCCACTGGAGTTCTGAAGAAGACAGGGGCCTTGTTTTTCTTGGATGCTTACAGGCCAAAACTCATTATTACTAAACAAATAGGAATTGAATAAGCAAAGCTGTGTGTATGAAGGGTAGGCAAATCAGGGGTGGAGCCCTCTAACAGATCTAGACAGGTTTTGTTTGCTTTTTGTTTTGTAAATTAGAAGTCCACCCGGTGGAAAGAAAGTAAGGATATAGTGGGGGCATATGGTGCAGCAGCTCTGGAGGCCAAAGCTGTAGGATCACCATTTCAAGGTCAGCCTGAGCAATTTAGCAAGGCCCTAAGCAACTCAGCGAGATCCTGTCTCTAAATAAAATGTAAAAGAAAAGAGGGCTGGGGATGTGGCTCAGTGGTTAAGCGCACCTGGGTTCAATCCCCGGTACCAAAAAGAAAGCTTGGATACAGGAAGTGATGGAAGAAACAGCCTGTTTTGTTCTTAGGGGGTTCTTAGAGCCTTATCCATAAACATCTTAGAGTTGGGTATATCTGGTACTCTGGATTCTCAAAGGGTCAGCACTCCAGTCTCTAAGAAGATCCATCCCAATTCCAGCAGTTCATGAATTCTTGCCATATGCTCACTCTATGCTCCTCACGTCCTGGAGCTCCCTAGGTTACCCCTGGCCAATCCTGTCTCTGAGGCCTAGTCCTGGTCTTTGTTCCCAGTGTTGGAATGGTTCCCTGCTTGCTGGTTTGACTTCAAGTCATTTGTCATTTCTGGGCCTTAGTTCCTTCATCAGCCATATAGGAAAGGTAATTCAGATTTCCTAAAATTGTGAGGATTAAATAAAATATGTCTGCAAAGCATTAGCTACAATTTGTGTCCTATAGTAAGCCTTTAGTATGTGGTTATTATCTCAACTTGCCCACTGTCACTGCCCCTCCTTTCTTAGCTTTGGGACTCTGCCTTCCTGAAGTCTGTGGAGTTCCGGGAACAGATTAGTTTTGAATGTCACTTAATCCTGGAGGCCCTTCCGCAATTGGAGCCTAGATTGGGGCTGATAGGGACTGGACTGATATAAACCTGAGTTAAGAGGCCTGATTCACAGACTCTGCAGGATGGAACTGAGTGTGGGAACCAAGCTGCTGATGCTGTTGTGGGCCGTGTACTGCAAATATGCGCTGGCAGATGGGCTGATCGGCTACCCTGTCATTGAAGTGACCAACGGGGGTCCCTGGGGCGACTGGGCCCTGCCTGAGATGTGTCCTGATGGATACTTTGCCAGCGGGTTCTCACTTAAGGTGAGAGCTCTAGGGTTTGGAGGGGGTGGATATGGCATGGGGCCATGGAGCCAAGGATGGCAGTCCCCTGACTCATCCTTACTACCCAGGTAGAGCCCCATCAAGGCATTCTCGGTGATGACACAGCTCTGAATGGGATCCGGCTGCACTGCACACGTGGTAACTCTGAGCTCAACACTCAAGTTGTGGAGTCCCAATCTGGAAAGTGAGAAGGGGCAGGGGCCAAGCATGTCTTAAGGTCAGGGCATGTCTCTTACCCTCCTGTTACATGCCCTCTCCCAGCAGATAAACTCCTCCTGAATTATGGGGCAGTTTAGATTTGAGGAGGTGGATGGAAATCCACCTGTCTGCACCTCACGGAAGGTCAGGTGGTTAAATCCAACCGAATGGGGTTGCCCTGACCTGCCTTGGAAAGTCCCACGTTCTGGGTTGGCCTCAAGGTGAGTAGGGAGTGCTCACAGAGCTAGCGCTTCTCCTCTTCCCTTATAGGTGGGGTGCATGGAGTGAGCCTCTATGGTGTCCTAGTGGTGGCTTCCTAGTGGCTTTCTCACTTCGGGTGGAAGCACCCATAACCCCTGGGGACAACACTGCAGTGAACAACGTGCGTTTCCGGTGCTCAGATGGCACGGAGTTGCAGGGGCCTGGGCTGGACTGGGGAAAATTTGGAGAATGGAGCACGTCTTGCCTGAAAGGTGCGTGTGGCTTACAGACCAAGGTTGAGCAGCCTAGAGGCCTCCGTGATGACACTGCACTTAACGATGCACGAGTATTCTGCTGCCTCACCTAACCTTGTCCTAACATTGTCAAAGTCCTCTCCCCGGCTGGCCCGGAGGCTAGTCCCATCCCCTGGGGATTAAAACATTTTCATCTTGACTTTGGTTTGACTTGTTTTAGGAATGAGAAACTGTGTCTCCTTGTTTGCCTACTAACCCAGTACTGGGCCAGGTCTACATTTGAGTGAGACCTCAGGCGGTCCACGGTAGGCTGCTGCAACTTATGGGCCCCTTCGTCATGAAAAACAGTGTGTGTGTGTGTGTGTGTGTGTGTGTGTGAAGGAAGTCTCTGGCTTTCTGAGGACATCTGTAAATACCCCACCCTCATTAAAAGCACAGGTTGTCTCCTTTCCAAGTTACCGGTGACTTCAGGTTAAGAAACTTCTGCCAAATCAGGAGGTGACAATGCTACAATAGCTTTAAGTCTTCATCTTCTAGAGTTTAAGAGGCTAAAGTGTCTTTTTCCATAGTTTCCAAACCCCCCTTGCTAAATCCAAATTTGACTTTTTAAATACTGTTAAGGACCTTTTGTCCTTCATTGCTGTTCTCTCTGCCTAGAATCCCCCAGGTACCTAGATGGTTAGCTCATCCTTCAGATTTTAGCTCAAATCTCATTTTCTCAGACTTTTCCCTGTCATTAAAAAACAAAAACAATAAACAAAAACACAACAACTCCATCAGTTAATATCTATTCTATTACCAATGTGTTTTTAAAAAGTTTTTACAGCTGGGTGCCCTGGTAAACACCTGTAATTCCAGCCACTTGGGAGGCTGAGGTAGAAGGATCACCAGTTGGAGACCAACCTGGACAATTTAGCTGAACTTGTCTGAAAATTCAACAAAAAAGGGTGGGGATGTGTGTAGCTCAATGGTGTGATAGTGCACTCTCAGAGCATGTGTGAGGCCCTAGGTTCAATAATCTCCAGTACTGAAAATAGAACAATAATTAAATAAATAAATTAAAACGTGTTAACCATCAACTAAAATAATCCTTTGCTTCTATTAAAAATTGCCTTTTCCACTCCTGGAATGTTCAATTCTTTGAGAGCACAGAACTCATCTGCCTTGTTTACTACTGTATTTCCTGCACAACTTAATAGCTCAGTAACTTTTCTTTTTTTTTTGCTCAGTAACTTTTCAAAACAAAACAAATGGGGTGTAGGGGCTCCAACAGGGTCAGGAGAACACCAAGCTCAGGAGGCCCTCAAAGACTCTTGCTGATTTAGGGAGTAATCTGAGCTGGGAGGGTTGAAGGGGGACTCAAAACAGTTTATTCCAGGGGCTGGGGATGTGGCTCAAGTGGTAGCGGGCTCGCCTGGCATGCGTGCGGCCCGGGTTCGATTCTCAGCACCACATACAAACAAAGATGTTGTGTCGGCCAAAAACTAAAAAAAAAAAATAAATAAAAATTCTCTCTCTCTCTCTCAAAAAACAAACAAACAAAACCAGTTTATTCCAGTGAGCCAGGGAGTGGGCGTCAAACGACCCTCGACCCTCCTTCTCTTCTTTGTTTCTTTCCCGCCGGCGCCAGTGTTCAAACCCTACTGGTAGGAAGCCTTAGCCCCAATTAGAATTAACTTCTTGGGCCCCGGAACTGACATATGGAAGAGCTTGCCAATAAATGAGCGACCTGTTATCTACCTCAGCCCCTGCTACCTCTCTTAGACCTATATAAACACACAGCCATTTGTAATAAAGTGAGACCTCTTTGGTAATCTGTGTCGTGTGGTGCAGTGTTTTCTAGTCTTACAGTGAGGACCTAGCCAGGAGCAAGCAGGTCCCTCCACAACTCCACCTCATGCTGTCCCACCTCCTTTTTCCTCCAGTTCTCACAAATGACACCAATAATATAACCAAAAACTTGGTCCTTGTCCCCAGTGCCAATTTAACAGTTTTGAGAAAAAAGTAAAAGTAATTTTATTGCTTTGCTAGTGAAGGAGAAACACAGGGGAGTCCTGTCCCAGAGGCTATGAACTGCCCATCAGGGAAAACAGAGGGCTTTTAAGAGGCTCTTCAAAGGGCTACATTCCAAGTGTGCCTTGATTGGGGTGGGGGGTGTCCCAGGAGTCCAGATAGTGTGTTAGGATTTCCTTGTTAATTTGGGAGATATTCACTTCCTAGAACCTCCGGCAGACAAGTACTTCTCCTCACCCCCATTCCCCCAGGTTAGGGAGGGGGAGAGGTAGAGGAAAAGAAAAACATCCCTTTTATTCCAGTGAGCCAGGGAGTGGGCGGGCCAGGGAAGGGGTCCAGGAGAAAGCAGGTATAACCTGGCAGTCAGTGGAGGCTCAGTGAGCAGAGAGCCCTTCGGAAAAGAGAAAGACAGTGAGGCTTCAGAGCAAGGAAGGCTACATTCAAAACGTGAAGTGGACAATGAAGAATATGGTTACCTACCTGTCCTCCAGCCCCACTCTAAACTCCTCCCATTACCTGGCCACCAAAGGGGCCTGCCAAAAGTAACTCCTCCTGTTAGGTTGGTGGTGGCGACTTAGAACAAAGCAGCCCAATTGGGAAAAGAACATCAATCAGATGCCAACGGAAACACCTGTCAATCAGCCAGATCTCCTGACTAAAGCCTGTTCATCAGCAGGACCCCCTGGCCAATCCTGGAGTTCAGCCAACTCCCCTGACCACCTTCAGGGGGGCAAGGGACCCTAAAAACACCTTTTCCTGTCCCAAGCCCTTCCCTTCCTGCTGTAAGCCCCATAAAAGTCCAGTCTGGTCAAGCTTCCACACGGTTTCTCCTCAGACCCTTCCCCTGTCCACTCTGTGGGTCTGATCGAGTTCCGCCGGGGAGTGATATCTCAATAAAGCCTCCTTCAGCGGCTCTTTTAAATCTGCCTCCTTTGGTTGCTGCCTGCCTTGCCTGATGTGATACCTCCCATGACCTAGGCAGCTAAAAATTTATAAAACCCAGATCCTCATGATGACCTGATGTCCCCCACCCCATTCCCCAGATGTGCCTCTCTGGAACTGAATAAAAGCATCACTCCCTCCATTTTTCTTTTTCTTTTTGTATTCGCTTTCATGTACTTTCAATCAAATGATAAAATAATAGCGTTCACCAGGTACACGCCACACAGCACGATCTCCAGGCAGGAGGCAACCACTAGCAACGAGAGCAGCGTCACATTCCAGGGCACCACTGTGAGTGGCTCCTCGCACAAATTCCAGTAAGCATTGTACTTCAAGTAAGCGCCTCTGTGGACAGGTAGGCTCCAGTGAGTGAAGGAGGTCACAGGGCACCCTACCCCCACCCGCAGTCCCCTCCACTGGCAGGGTGGGATTTTCAAAGGGTTAGTTAGACCCACATGGAGGGAATTCTCCTGAAGCTCAGTGGCACCCACGTAGGAAGAGCATGGGAGTCATGGGATGCAGAGACTGGGGGTCACTAATAGATGCTAAGCCTTACTCGGGTTCTTGGAAGTGGTAGTCCCACTCGCCGTTTATGAAGCATTTGGGTCCAATTCTGAGGCCGACTCCTGACACGGAGAGGCAGTAGATGGCACCAAGCATTCCGAAGATCGAGCACAAGAAGGAATGTGGAATCTGGACCAGGTGTGGAAGGTGGGCTGAATAGGGCCACCCTGTCCCCATTTGTGGCCTGATGGCGCCTAGCTCTGTCCCTTATATTGCCAAGCTCCTCTGGAGCCAGGTTGAAATACATTCCTGGGGCTGGGGATGCAGTCCTGTAACAGAGTGCTTGAAAATACATTTTCCTATAAACCTGGGGCTTGGAGTTAGGCAAAACTAAGGGCCAACAGAGATTCATGGAGGCTAGGAACTCTGTAGAGGGTGCTGTGGCTCTGGGAGAGACTGGTTCAGAGATCAAATCCTCAATCGCTTTCTCCTTTTTGGGCAGGTGGGGGCGCCCTGGGGATTGAACCTAGAAGTGCTCTACGTCTGAACTACTTCCCTAGCCCTTTTTATTTCTTTTTAATGAGACAGGATCCTGCTAAATGGATGAATTTGAGATCCTCCTTGCCTCAACCTCCAGAGTCACTGGGATTACAGGTGTGCACCACCACGTCCTGGCAAAGCTCTTCTTAATTTGAATCTCACCCAGTCTGGATGTGCAACCGCTGCCAGAGCTGCTACGATTCCCGACCACAGCACCTGTGGGACCAGAGTCAGTGTGATAGTGTGAACCCTCCACCCCAACCTAGGTCTTCAAGATATTCACCTCCTCTGGAAGCTGCCTATGGTGTCCTCAGGCCTTTGGACTGTAGGAAGACTTTACCTCTACCTGTCCTGGAGCATGGTTGGGCTCTACCTTACTTTATCATTATTTATGTGCCTACCTTATCTCTGTCCATATGGCAGCTTCCTTGAGAGTTGGGTTCACTATTAAATATTCCTCATAATTCTTGGCACGTAGTACGTGCCTTTCTGAATGGGAATATGGAGGCCCTGGGCCACACTACTTCATGCTCAATGAACTGATTGGTTTCTCTGGGTCTCAGTTTTGTCTTAGTAAAAAGGGTTTATGAAACCTACTTCACATAGTTGTTCTTAGGATTGAATGGTAACTGGTGGGCCTGGTATCAAGACTGCTTTAGAGGAAATGCTCCTTAGCTATAAATATCTTCAGCAGTGGGAAGAGGTAGTGGTGTTGGAAGGTCTGGTGAGCTAGGATATGGTAGAGTGGGTTCACAAATGCTGTGATGTGGGTTGTGGGATTTCCTAAGATCCAGCCCCTGATCTTTTTTTTTCCTGTGACTTTTCTCACAAAGTCCATCCCCTTCCAGGGAATCAGCTATTCCCTCTGCCAATAGACACCTCCACATGCCTGGAGATCTAAACCCAACTGCCTGAAGGATGTGTTCACTCAAATGTCTTGGTTTTAGCTCAGATTCAGCCTGTCTCAGAGTGAACTCATACTATTTCCCAAATTCATCTCCCTTCGATTTTGGGAAATAATCACCCACCACGTCACCTAGGCTGGAAAAACTTTACTCCTTCGGCTCCCAGTCAGATCTCAAGTCCTTTTGACTCTTCCTTCAGTGGCTCCTGAATCTGTCAGTCCTTTCTCCTTCTTTCCCCATTCAATTTCTAATCAAATTCCATGTGGAAGATATTCTTAGCCTCGCTACTAAGTTCCCGTAGCTCTTGCCCCATGCCACCCCACACTTCTTCCTACATGCTACCACCAGATTAATCTTGGTCTTGCCAGGGTACGTTGGTACATACCTGTAAACCCAGCCACTCTGGTTTCTGTATCCAGAAACTCAGCAGCAGAAGGAGACCCTATCTCAAAATAAAAATAAAGTGCTGGGGTTGTAGCTCAGTGGGAAAGTGTTCCTGGGTTCAATCTGGGGATGGTGGGGGGTGTTATTTTATTTTTTGTTTTTTGTTTTGGTACTGGGAATTGAACCCAAGAGCATTTAAATACTGAGCCACATCGCAGCCCGGTTTTATATTTTTATTTAGAGATAGGCTCTCACTGATTTGCTTAAGGCCTCCCTATGTTGTTGAGGCTGGCTTTCAACTTGTGATCCTCCTGCCTCAGCCTCCTGAGCCTCTGGGATTATAGGCTAGCACCAGCAAGCCCAGTGGGAGAGGAGCTTCTAAATCCTAGCAAGTCCTTTGAGGCTCCTCACTCTGCCTCCAGCCTTGTCATTGTCTTCATAGCACCTTTTTTTGTTCATCTCCCATCCCTGGAATTCTATAGGTGTTTTGATCCTTCCTTCCCTGTTGGTATATACCATAAAAGTGTTTTGTTCTTTTCCAGGAAAGGGGCTGAGAGTTTTAGTTCTCTTATATCATCCCCAGTAACCACAGAGAAAACCTGATGAGTTGAACAAAATTTCCACTAGCACTTTCTTTTTTTGGGGGGTGGGGTACCAGGGATTGAACTTGGGGGCACTCAACCACTGATCACACCCCTGCCCTATTTTGTATTTTATTGAGAATCAGGGTCTCACAGAGTTGCTTAGCACCTTGCTTTTGTGAGGCTAGCTTTGAACTTGCAATCCTCCTGCCTCAGTCTCCGGAGTCCCTGGGATTACAGGCATGTACCACTGTGCCCAACTTCCATTAGCACTCTTGCTCTCCTGCTCTTGTGTCCAGGCAGATTCAGGGTCAGTGCTAGTTCCCTTTGCTGGTGAGGTCAATTACTGGGAGGTTCTAGGATGCAAAGATACCTAAAATTACCTCTGGATTTACTAGTGTGTGTGTGTGTGTGTGTGTGTGTGTGTGTGTGTGCGCGCGCGCGCGCTGCATTGCTGGAAATCTAATCCAGGTTATCAGGTTATTGCCATGCTAGGTAAATGCTCTACCACTGAGTTACATCCCCAACCCAGATTTACCAGTTTCAAATGAACCATCGGAGAGTTTTACTTTTGGTCAAAGTATTTGTCTACCTTTGTGGTCTAAGCTTCCCTTCTTCCTCCCTGCTGTCTTATTGTCTTCATGAAAAGAGAAGAGTCATCATTAATTCAGGAGGCAACACAGTTTATAGCTTGAATCTGCTCACTTCTCTCTATCGCATGGCCACTGGCCTATTTCAAGGTACTGATTTCCCCTCTATGTCATTACTCCCATCTTCTGCATTTATGGCTGACCTACTACTATTCATTCTTCACACAATAGCTAGAGGATCTACTTCAATCCAGTGGGGAGTGGAACAACTCTCACTCTGTGCTGATAGAAATGAAATTTATTCAAAAACTCCCAGAAAACTATTTGCCAGTATTAGCACTGAATATTTGTAAATCTTAAGATCCAGCAGTGGGGCTGGGGATGTGGCTCAAGCAGTAGCGCGCTCGCCTCGCATGCGTGCGGCCCAGGTTCGATCCTCAGCACCACATACAAACAAAGATGTTGTGTCCACCGAAAACTAAAACAATAAATATTAAAAAAAAAAGATCCAGCAGTGTTGCTCCTATCTAAGAGTAACAGTGGAAATAAACACATATGCTCACCTACGATGCCTATAGGAAGGTTGTTATTGACCTTATTTGCAATAAACCCAAACTGAGAACTAAATGTCCATCAACAGTAAAAGTTTAATTTAAAGTGTATTCACATAATGGCATGCATAAAAAATAAAAACCTACAGCTACACAAAATAACTCGGATGGCTCTCACAATATGATATTATGCTAAAGAAGCCGGACACAAAAGAGCACATAGTGTATGATTTCATTTTAAATAAAGTACTGAGCAGACCAAACTAGTTTATGGTGTTAGAAGACTGAATAATCATTACCCTTGTTGGTGGGGGTAGTACCTGGTGAGAGGCATGTGTGGGATTCTGGTAATAACAATCTGTGTTTTGTTTGCTTGTTTGTTTTTTGAGATAGGGTCTTGCTATTTTACTAGGGTTGACATGGAACTCCTCGTCTCAGCCTCAAGATCCTCCTGCCTCTGCTTCCTGAGGAGTTGGGACTACAGGTGCATGAATGAACTGGTTTTTAATCTTGGTGCTGGGTCCGTGGGTATGTCCACTTTGTAAAAATTCATTGAACTGGGGCTGGGGGTGTAGCTCACTAGGAGGGCATGTGCTTAGCATTCACAAGTCTCTGAGTTCAATCCCCAGCGCACATGCATGTATACACACACAACCCCCAAACCAAAAAGAAATAACAAAAATCCTTAACTTCTTGCCCTACCTCTTTATAATAGTTTTATTTATTTATTTACTTATTTTTGAGGTACTAGGAATTGAATATCCAGGGCACTCTGCCACTGAGTTACATCCACAGCGTGCATGTCCTCTCTGTGTGTGTGTGTGTGCGTGTGTATGCATATATATACATATATACACACATACGTGTATATATATGTATACATATATATGATCTAATTTTCCAGGTTGGCCTCAATCAAACTTATGATTTTATTCTCTCTCTCATTTATTTATTTATTTTGGTAGCACGGACAATTCAATGTAGGGACACTCTCCACCAAGGCATATCCCAGCCCTTTTAATTTTTAATTTTAATTTTTTATTGCCCAGGCTGTTGTCAAACTTGCCTCAAGTTTGCTGGGATTACAGGCATGTGCCACTGCATCTGGCATAATCTTCCTTTTGAGTAACTGGAATTTCAGGTATGGGCTACCACGCATTCCTGGCTTACTCTCTCTCCACTTCTCTCTCTTGCTCTCTCTTCTTTGCAGTATTGCTGGGGATCAAACCTAGTGTCTCATACATGCTAGATAAGTGCTCTACCACTGAGCTATTCCTCCAGTCCTATTTATTTTTATTTTTGATGGCACCCCCTGCTGTCTGAAATCATCTTACATATTTATTTACTTCATTCAGTGATTATTAACCAAGCTCCTGTTAGGTGAAGGCACTGTTCTAGGCGCCAGGCACACAGCAACCAACAGAACAGGCAGCCCTTGCTCTCATGGGGCTTCGGGTCTTGCTTCCTTCATACCATTTGCCCCCCTCTAAGGAACCCAAGATTTAAGGGGAGCAGGGACCTTGTCTGTGTCTCTGTGGTGTCAAGTGGTACTTCCTGAGAGTGACTCAGGTGTAGAGGGGGAGGAAGACAGTTGTGAGTGAGAATGTTGGGAGCACAGCCTTGGAGATCACCCCTGAAAAAGACTAGTAGACTGGGTGGAGGAGTGTGAGGTAGTTTAGGCTGGAGAAGGGGCATGAGGTGACACTGGGTGAGTGTGTAGGCCTGGGGGAGTGTGACATCTCAGAGAGAGCTGAGATCTGAGAGATGGAGAATAGTCCAACACTATGAATCCATGCAAGGGATGGGAAGTAGAAGGGACTTCAGAAGGTAAGAGAGAGTTGCTAGGTTAAGGAGAAGTATCCTTGCTTAGCTAATAGAGGTGTGATTCAGAAAAGGGACAAGGTGACACCTCTTCTAGAGAATGTTATCTGTCATCTGTCCTGAAAAGAGGGAAACTCTGCTGGGTAGATCTTTCATTTTTGCCCAATACAAATACTACTTCCCCTAAATGGGGAAAGAGAGGAGGAGGTCCAGGAAATCTGTGACTCCTCTTCCTCCACTTCTCCTAGCAGATCCTCATCTCCAGGAAGCCTTGGGGGCAATTTCTCTGCCTGACTGACCTGCTTCTGAGTTGATCCTTAGCACCCAGCACAGAGTGGGCATCCAGAATGTGGGCTGAGAGTCAGAGGATGAGGAGGAGGGAGGGACAACATTGAGCTGAGAGGTAGAGTGACTGATGGGTGACATCACTGCCTGGCTCCAGACATTTTTGCTGCACCCCCAATGCCTATTGCCCTGCCCTGATAACCTTCCACACAACCAGCTGCTCCTTCTGCTTAGACCTTTGTAGTGAGGGGTCCCCAACATCTGCTCAGCTGTGAGGGTGGTGGGGCCGAGCAGATAGGACATGCTTTGACCCAGAAGCAAAGCTCTTTAGAGACTTGAGCCTCCCCTCCCTGACTTTCCCTTCCCTTAGACATTTATCTCAGGTCCTTGGGGGCTCTTCCAGGGCTGTCTACAGAGTGCTGAGTGTGTAGGGAGTGGGTTGGGCTCTGCTGGGTAGATTTCACCAGCACTTACCGTCCCATCTGGAACTCCCTCCTTTTCCCTCTCTCCTCCCTTCCCATTCAGAACCCCTCATGGTTGTGCCCACACCCCTGATCACTGGCCTGTGCTCTAGACTCCTCACCATCAATCCCCCGCCGATGAAGCCAGGCAGGATCAAGACATGCAAGCTGAGTTGGTCACTGCTCCAGGTCTTCCCATCAGGCACCAGTAGGAGGGAATTGGCCACGATGCAGACTAGGGAAAGAGATATAAGGGAGAGCCCCACATAGCGGGTACACTTCTTCAGATCCATGGCAAGGCAGGGAGTGAAAGTGAGCCGGAGGTTCCAGGATCCAGAAGTAAACAGGCTGGAGCATGAGTAAAGGGCAGAGAAAAGAGGTGGTAGAAACTGAGAGAGTCAGAATGATAAGGGAGAGAGGCCCTTATCACCAGCTGCAGCTTGTGAGGGGAAAGGGAGGAGGTGGTGATGGAACAGGTGGGGGAGCTAGTCACACACTGCAAGCTGCCTGGTGTCAGTGTCTACTTTCTCTTTTTCTGCACACACCTCTCTGTAGTCTCTCTTTGGTTCCTTCCCTGTTTGAAGACTTAACCAATCCATTTCATGCCTGTAAGTCTCAATTCCCTCATCTTTATAAGGGGTAGAGTGACACCACTTGCCTCCTGAGCTGGTTGTGAGGGTTCCTTAGGACAAGGGGAGTATTTTGTAAACTAGACAGCACAAGAAAGTGTATTGTGGCCTCATGATTTCCATCTGTCACACAGTGTCCCTCCTAGAAAGAAATGAAAAGGATGATAGGCTTCAGTTGTTTTTATTTCATACACACACACACACACACACACATGAAATATACATATGGTAATCTCTCTCTCTCTCTCTCTCTCTCTCTCTCTCTCTCTCCAGGGATTGAATCCAGGGACACTTAAATACTGAGCCACTTCCTAGATATTTTGTATTTTATTTAGAGACAGGGTCTCAATGAATTGCTTAGGACCTCACTAAGGGCTGAGGCTGGCTTTGAACTTGTGGTCCTCCTGCCTCAGCATTCCGAGCTGTGGATATTATAGACATGTACCACCGTGACTAGTATCATTTCATATTCTTTTTCTTTTTTAAAATTTTTTTTCTGTAGATAGACACAATACCTTTATTTTTTAAAATTTATTTTTATTTGGAGCTGAGGATTGAACCCAGTGCCTCATGTGTGTTAAGCAAGCCACTCTACCACTGAGCTACAACCCCAGCCCTCATTTCATTTTCTTAATATTTGTTTATTGATTTCTTCTCCTTTTGAGACTAATACCTGTTTCTCAGGGTAGACTTGAGAATGAGGCCTGATTTGTTAGAATATTCCATTATCTGGCATCAATGTTTGACTCAGTGACTGCTGTACAGTCCAAGCCTGTTCCATGAAGAATCCATTTTAAAAATTCATTTTTTTTTGTTGAAGTGCTAAGATTGCTGGTGGCTTGTTTACACCATGAGGCAGGGCCTGCCTGTTTGAGCAGGAAGTCAATCCAGAGGAAAGAACCCTGAGAGATGGAATGAGGTGTAACGACATCATTTGAATCTGCATATCATGCCATGCCTGATCACTTCTTGGAATCTTTTTTTTTTTGTACTAGTGATTGAACCCAGGGGCATTTAATCACTGAACCACATCCCCAGCCACCCCCCCACTTTTTTGATATATATATATATATATATATATATATATATATTTATTTTAGAGACAGGGTCTCACTGAGTTGCTTAGGGCTAAGTTGCTGAGCCTGGCTTTGAACTTGTGATCCTCCTCCTGCCTCAGCTTCCTGAGCTGCTGGGATTATGGATTTGCGCTACCACACCCAGCACTCCTTGGTCCTTGGAACCTTTTATTTTTTTAAAATTTAAAAAATTTGTTCTTTTTAGTTATATGTGACACACTACCTGTTCACTGAAGGAGAAATGCAGGCCGCTAATAATATTGATAAGAGCAACCAAGTTTCCCTGAAGGAGATAATGTGACCAGATCATGAAACTGGGAGATTCTCAAGATAGAGCTCTCTTAGCTTTACTGTCATTTAAAAAATTAGACTACTTTTTCTAGACTCTGATAAGACACATTTTCTCCTGTATTCCCCTCCTGTGGCAGGAAAAAGACCAGAAAATCTTTTTTTCCCCCAATGTCAAATTTTAATGTGCTGATATAAACCAAAGTTTAATCCTCTATGGTTGAAGTAACAAGAACTTCTTATGTATCAAGACAATCTCTTATGTCTAGTTTTATTCTTTATTTCTTTATTTATTTGTGGTGCTGGGGATTGAACCCAGGGACTTGTGCATGCGAAGCAAGCACTTTGCCAACTGAGTTATATTCCCAGCCCCTTAAGCTTTATTCTTTAGAAACTTTGGCCAAACAACTTCTATTTTAGGGTATTACACTACATTACAGAGTCTAGATTTGTCTTTAAAAGCTAAAGTTGATAAATATACAACATCGACATGCACGCTGTGTTGGTCAGTGCTCCAGGTCTTCCCATCAGGAACCAGTAGGAGGGCATTGGCCACGATGCAAATTAGGGAAAAGGGTATAAGGGAGAGTCCCACATAGCAAGCACACTTCTTCAGGCACATGGTGGACAGTAAGTGAAAGTGAGCCTGAGGTTTCTGGGTCCAGAGGAACACAGTTTGGAGCACGAGTAAAGGGCAGAGAAAAGATGTGGTAGAAACGGGCAGGATCACAATGATAAGGGAGAGAGGCCCTATCACTAGCTGCAGCTTGTGAGGAGTGGGGGTGGATGCTGATGGAGCAGTTGGTGGAGTTAGTCACACACTGCAAGCTGCCTGGTGTCCATGTCTTCTTTTTCTGCATCCATGTGCTCACAGTCTTTGATTCCTTACCTGTTTGAACATATCACCAAGCCATCTCATGTCTTTAAGTCACAATTGCCTCATCTCTATAAAGGGTAGAGTGTGGTACCACTTGCCTCCTGAGCTGGTTGTAAGGATTCCTTAGGACAAGGGGAATATTTGGTAAACTAGGCAGTTCAAAAATTATGTACAGTGGCCTCATCATTTTTCTTTGTCACATTGAGAGATTTCCTCCCAGAAAGAAATAAAAAAGATGATAGCAGGCTTCAGTTGTCAGTTTATTTATATATATATATATATATATATATATATATATATATTATAATTTTTTTTAAAAATTTAACTGGGTATTGAACCCAGGAGGACTTAACCACTGAATATCTCCAGCCCTTTATCATTTTATTTAAGACAGGGTCTTAGTGAGTTACTTAGGGCATCACTAAGTTGCTGAAGCTGTCTTTGAACTCATGATCCTCCTGACTCAGACTCCCAAGGTCTGGGAGTACCACCATGCTTGGCTTCATTTTATATTCCTAATATTTGTTTATTGATCCTCTCTCCTTTAGCGATAACTACCTGTTTCTCAGAATAGACTCGAGACTGAGGCCTGATTTGTTAGAACATTGCATCATTTGGCCTCAACATTTGACTCAGTGATGACTGTACAATCCAAGGATGTTCCATGAAGAATCCATTTTTAAAATTTATTTGTGTTCTTGTTTTCATTTATCAATTGGAGGTCAAAGAAGTTCTTTTTTTTTTGTACCAGAGAATGAACTCAGGGCCACTCAAGCACTGAGGCACTTCCCAAGCCACCCCCACCCTTTTCTTTAAAATATATTTTAGGGGAGATGGCGGTGAATAGAGTGTGACACCCCCATGTACCGCGTCACTGCGCAGGTGATTAGCGAGTTTAGAACGGCCAGAAGCTATCTTGTTAGGAATTTCCAGCAAAATTGGGGTGCACTGAAACCTAGAGGAAGAATTTCAACACCCGAGGATCAGTTACTGCTGCTCAATCGCGAGTGAACTGTGCACCTGGACATTCAGGCTGATTGATCACTGGCCTGCCCCACAGCCGGAGCCTGCGCACCGCCAGCAACGCAGAGAAATGGTGCTAAGGAATCTGTTGGGTCCTGCCAACTGTGCCCTCACGGTGCTCCAGGCTGTGTTCTGGGTTTGAGATGGGGGAGAGAAACAGTCCAGATCTGCCCTCCAGACCAGACACCCCACCGAGGAAGCAAGCGGCCACCATCTTGGAGAGCTGACGTCACCATCGCCAGTTTCCAACAGATCCGACCCCATCGCAGCAAGTTCAGCGATAGAACAGGTGTGTGACATTTAGTTCTTCTCCCATACAGTGGGGAAATCGCATAAAATATCTCCCCAGCTTTCTGGGGGCGTGATTATCAGAGTGATCGTGAATAGAGGCATGGGGAAAGGTAAAGGCACCTGACCTCCAACTCCCCCCTCCCACCAGCGGCTAAAACAAAACCTGTCGCGCAGCTCTCGGGGGAGTGTCTATCAGAGGGAATCGAAAGAATAGGAGGCCGGTTCCCAATAGCCACACTCCACATCCAGGAAACTGCAGGCTCAGAGTGTAGCTTGAACTGTGAAGAGGTACCACACTGGGGAAGGCCTGTCTGGTGGGAGAAGCGAGGAGACTAGAGGCCAGGAATAAACCTAAGTGAACAGAATTGGAGAGATACCAGGTGGGGGAGGAGGGAGTGGCCTCATATGGATTGTTTCCTACAGACAGAGCGCAAAATCTTGGTCCGGAAGGCAGAGCTCCACCTACTGGAAGCTAAGAAAATAGAAGCCAAACAGTGCTTTATTTTTTTCTCTTTTTTTTAAATTGTAATTTTTACTTTACTTTATTATTTTTTTAATCATTTCTTCTTTTTCTTTTCTATTTTTTCTTCTTTCCCTCTCTCTTTCTTGGTTTGCTTCCTTACCTTTTCCCTATCTTTCCTCCCAAGCACGACCACTCCGATTATGTGTAATTTACAAAATGCAAATAGATGAATATTATGAGACAGTCTATAGTCTGCCTAAGCCCCTAACTACCCCCAAGTACTCCTGTCTATTCTCTTGTTAATATCCACCTGCATTTGAGCAACCCCCCAAAGAAGCTAAGATATACTAACCTCCATACCATCATATCTCCCGACCTTAACATAAAATCCTAAGTTCAACCCTCAATTCTCTACATGCCATCAAAATCTCTAGGCCTTTAATGAAACTAATGAATTTACCTTAAATCACAATTAAATCCAACATCTCTAAACATTGTCTCCCAACACAAAGGAGAAATCTTGGAGCTATACAAAACCAAAACAAATTTATAGGAGAAAACAGAAACACAGCAGTCAAACAGAGTTGGAAAGTAACATGAGCACCATGAAAAAACAAGGGAAAAAAGGATTACAAACAATGCAGGATAACTTAAATTTACAGGAGAACCTAGAGATATCAGAAAAATGGACAGATAAAGAACTCAAGGCATAC